GAGAAATCCAAAAGCCATACAGTATATAAAAGAAAACCATTAATGGATAAATTGAAATAAAAAAGTCTTTATGTATTTGCGTACGAAGCTAACCTATTTAAATCTTTATACATGAAGAATTTGTTCGTCTCCTTGACTGTAATATTGCCCACTGACAGAATATATTGCATTCAAAATTTTATTTTACCAACTCCATGATAAGTACTAACTAATTGCATAAAAAACAATACATACATGGTGTTCAATTAGAATTTAACTCAATCAATTTATATACTCCTAATAAATTACAGTAACTTATGCCCCAGTTCAACAATATTTTTTTTTACTTCATTTGGGAATCACCAAGGTTTGTCTTCATACGTGTACACATATTTAATTCCCGTATCACACAAACATAAAGAAACAATACCAATACTCTCCATGGGCTTGATGGTAGGATTAAATTAGGTTATTAACATAAAATAATATATATATTCTGTGTCGAACCATTTCACCAATAAATATAAAAATCTAACACTATTCTTTAATGCATAAAATTCAAACATAAATCATAAATTTCTTTGTACTAGACCCACAGGGGTTAAAATAAAGAGAATATCAGGAACTCCGAAAGCTATCCTCTAAGATTCTGATACTTTTTTTTTTATTGGGGAAAAATAATGAAATTTCCATCCAAATGAGTGCAGCCTTTTACCTCAAAACAGAAACTCACAGAGAAAAGCATCCCTTAAAAAACCAACAGACAACAGAGTGTATAAAACAGTAAAACTGTAGACGGATTATAAAACACAGCTAAGCATGGTGAATTAGGCTTATATATCGGACAGAAAAATTAAAAAGAAGAGGGAACCCTAAATTTGTAACTGACAATGCCATTAAAGGCAGGGATCCCAATGGCATAAACAACCCCTTTTTCTTTTCATATCTGTCTGCAATAGGGACATCTGAAGAATACCAACAGGAGTAAATGACATATGACTGTCTTCACACTGTTAAAAACATATAAACTAATGAATATTTGTTTAGTGTAAGTTTTTGCAGCAAAAGATTATAATCAACATGGCCAGCTCATTTTGAAAATTGCAGTCGTTCATTTTCTTCTACATATGGTTTTCTGTTTACTTTTCTTTTTTGAGCTCTGAAATTGTCCTTGTGGGGGACCTGGAGATTGCCAGTCTCATTGCAAAAACTGCATTGAGTTGGTAGAACAAGACTAGAAGCGGGGACAGAACTAAAAACTTATTAAAGAGGGGCTCAAAATATTTGTTTTTTTTTCAGAAATATAATTTTTTCAAATTTATTTTATTTATTTTTCAGAAATATAATTTTCTCAATTGAGAGGACTGATAAAATTTATTTTATCTATTTTGTAGAAATATAATATTTTAGTATTAATTAACATTAAGAAAATAATTGACAGAGACCAAGGTTGTTCTTGATCTCTATGAAGCTCCGCCACTAACTAGAAGAGTGTCAGTCTCCAAAATTTTATTTTTCTCCTAATTATATGGATTGGTTGTGGTAATACTGTTGAATGTCAATATTGTATATGTTGAATAATATAAAGTGATCATAAGGTAGTATTTGTTTATAATTTTTTTTTAAATTATGACTTAATACAAAAATAAGTGTCATATTTATCGAAAAGCATTTTAGTATATAAAGAAATTTTCGCTAAAAAAAGGTGTATAATATTTTCAACGTTACATTTTTAGGTTCTTGAACGTTAACCGCCATTAAAAATCTATGCTAAGTGACACATGTCATGTTTTGATAAATTTGAGAATATATGTTAAAAATATTTTTTAAGTTTTTTTAAAAGAATCTCCCACCCCCGTCTCCCCCTCCATTCCCCCTTCTCCGACGCCACAACCACCAGCAGCTTCGACATATTGCTCTGTTGACTCTTTGGGTCTAATTTGGAAACCCCTCACGTCCAAAATTGTCTCTGTATTAGACATATTGCTGCAAACTATCATGACAAATATAAGAAGAATGATGAACGACAATTAATTATACGGATGGGTATGTCACATTTTCCCCAATTTCATTTCTCACTCATTTTTATTTTTTTATAATGAGATTATGCTTCAAGAATTGCGAGGAAAAAATGAACATGGATATAATTACATTAGTGAAATCAATAAAGAAAAGTAGACAAACGCATAAGATGGTGGATATCGATATGGACACATGACAACCAACTTGGTTGAGGCAATCAATTCAACCTTAAAGGGGTCTGTCATTTACCAGTAACTACTTTGGCTAAAACGACATATTTTCGTTTGGGTCAACTTTTTGCCAAGCTCGAGGAACAAACTCTTACTTGGATACAAAACTATCATGTTTATCACCCACGATTAGTAGCAAATCTGTAGCAAAAGGTTGCAGTATCAAACAACATGTCCGTAATAAGCTTTTCTCGCACCCAAGAATTATTTCGGGTTATAAAAATGCCACGACCTCTGCAATGGATTGAATCTAACTCATTCAGAGTTAATCTATGAGATAGATGATGCGACTGTGGGTCTTTTCAAGCTTTGAAGTATCCATGCTCCCATGTCATAGCAGCTTGCTCATTTTCTCGTCAAGACTATAAGCGCTATGTGGATCACATATACCAAATTTCACAAGTATTCAAGGTATATGAATATGAGTTTCTCCCCATAGGTAATGATAAAGACCCAAATGAGGTTCAAACTTGGCTTCCAATTATACCAAATCCAGACTTATTAAAAGAGCCAAGTCGTCCAAAATCCACTCGAATTCATTGCGATATGGATATTCGAAAGATGCCAACACAAAGCTTAAGATGTGGCCATTGCAGAAATCCCGACCACAATAAAAAAGCTGTCAATCTCTTTCATCATCACGTAACCGTTGACCACCACCATGTAATCATATTTTCTAATGTTTCAGCTTATATTATTTCATTTTCTTCTAGTTTCAAGTAATGTGATTTCAACTTGTTTATTTTACAAGATGACCCTTTCGTCTATCTATATAATTTTCCAATTAAATGTTTAACGTTTATTTCTTACAATCTAACATTCAATCAACTTTAACCCTACCCTACTTTAAAAACACAAACATTTTAACATACAATCAATTTTAACACTAAACTTCTTTAAAAACCCTAAACCATACAAATATAACACTCTAAACCACTAAAAACCCTAAAAATGCTTTAACATAAAACCTTAAACCTAAAACCGCTGGGCATGGGAGGCGCGTTCCATACGACGCGCCATTCAACAGGGGTACGTTCCATAGGACGCAACATTCAAGGGAGGCATGTTCCATAGGAAGCACCATTCATAAAACCCATGGAATGCACGTTTCATGCAACGCACTTTCCCTCCCCCCGACTAAGGCGCATCCCCTGTCTTGCGCCTCATTCTTTCTCTTGAAAAAAGGTGTTAGATCTGGAAATAGTTAGGAAATGGTATTTGATAGGTAGAATTTTTTTAATATGATTATTTTTTGGGTCAAATTGCCTATAGTTTAGTAACTTTTTTATGATACAAGGATCAAATTGAGAAAAAAATTAAAATTATAAAGATTTAAAAAAAATAAAATTATAGCGATCAAGATATAAACATAAACATTTTAAAATAAAATTACATATATTAAATCTTTATAACTAATTTTATATTTTTAAGAAAAAATTAGAAATTTTAAGAAAAAATTAGAAATTTTAAGAAAAAATTAGAAATTTTAAGTTAGACAAATTAAAAATAAAGGTGGTCAGGTATTTAGAATTATTAATAAAATCGAAAGATTCAAAATTGAAGTAAAAAACATGATTTTTCGTGATGAAAACGAAACGATACAATACACCTTTGATTTATTGTCAGTGTATAGACCTTAAAATAATATATAGATTAAAAAATCACCTTAATCAAACACTTTAGCACAAATTTGTTGTCTTCAAAGTTTTACATTATACTTTATAGGTTTTTTTTCTAATGGTGTTATCCTTCCATTTGTTTACAAAGGTTTCCCCAATTTTGGGGAAATTGAATGCCCTCCTTTTTTTTCTTAAGAACAAAGGCTTCTGCAACCTTGGGGATATCAAATGCCTTCAATTTATTTTAACAGGTAAAGTTACTTGTTTTACAAAGTGTTTTTAATTTTTATTTTATTGAAATTGAATGTTAAAGATTGGTGAGGAAATTTATTTCATATGTATTTGAAGTTACATGTTTGCAGAGGATGCCTTCCCGATGGCTAGGAACAACGACAGTGGAAGCTCCAATTGAAAATAGGAATTGGATGACAAGTGAAAAAATATTAAAAAAAGAATAATATTAATTAATATCTACATGCAATTTAAAAATTAATAAAATATGCCATGACATCTCAAAGTTAGAAGTTAACGGTAGAATGATTAAAAAAAATTCAATTTCTAAAGCTCGGTGTACAAATTGAAAAAGATTGAAAGTACAGTAAATGAAATAAAAGAGATAGTAAAGTTTAATGAGTAAGCATGTAATTTACTCAATATTTATTGGGTATACAACATCTTAGCCTGTTTCGGGTAAAAATAATTTCTTACATTTTTGGGAAAAAGTTTAAAGAGATTTTTGCTTTTATTCATCTTTTTCCAAGTAGGCATAGTAAAAGAGGGTACAAACGAGTGATTCTTTTCTTGTATTTTTTATATTGCTTATGCAAATACATATATTGTGTTGTATTATATGTTCGTATTTCTTATATATTGTGTCTAAAATGATCACATCAACAGTGGAGGAACGTTATGCAGGGTGTGTTTTTGGTTTATGATCCTACCAAAATGCTTTGGAAGCAAAAGGACAGTGACCCATTTTCCCTAGTCGTCACCTTAATCATTGTCTTTGTGATTAGGGTTATCTTGGAACCCACTTTTTTTTCTTCTACGAAAACATCAATCGGAACCTAAAAAACACCAATTAGTCTTATAGGCAACAGCCCTTCACCTTTCAAGCGACATCATCATCTAAAACGTTGCTCGGTTTCAATTACTGAATTGATTATTGCAAGTGAAGCTTACAACTACATGAGTCGAAAACAGAAGAGATTTATTATACCTTTTCTTCTATAAAAGTTAACTGATTTTTCATTTTTGCGGAATATTGAGGGCTTCCGAGGGAGAGCAAGCCTTATCAAACGCTTCCAAGCAGCCGAGTTAAATGCTTTCATGATAAGTGCATATTTGATTAAGCGGTATCATACAGATAGTAAGCTATGGAGTTGCAAAGCATCCTCTAGGTATTTAACAGCACCGTCATAGTTTAAGAATCCCATGAACCAAAATTCATGACCATCAATAGACATAACTTGGATGTACTTTTCCGATGGATTGATTCTGCTTGTTGAAGGATTCACGGCTTTCAGTTGATGTAATGGCAAAATTACCTGTTTAACCAGACACAAAAACGTTACTTCCGATGCCATCAACCGGATCCTGAATACTTTTATACGATAAGACGTATCATACTTTATAGTAGCTCCATTCAGGCTGGCTCCCATTTTTATACGAAAGGGGACTGTCACTGCAAAATGCAAGCTTTGCCGTGGAAACATATAGAACTCCCATGACAGGACCAGCCGATGTCGATAAGTAGCATGCGAATGAATCTAGAAGTTTCTCTTCAGGAACTGTTTCAAAAGTTTGTATAAAGATCTTCTCATAGCCACCTTCTGCTAAAACCTTTGTTCCCCGAGCAATTCTTCCCATTGCAGCCTCAGCAAAACTAGGACTTGTTCTTACTGATTTAATAAAACAGGGCAATGTTATTTCAGTAATGTTGTGTATGTGAAACAGATCAAGAAGATAGTTTTGCATGGTTTTGTAAGAGAAACAATGGTGCATTTGAGTCTAAACCAAATTTGAATTACATAAACTTCTATTCCTAATTCAATATCTGGCCTGAGATTTCAAATTTCAATCATCAAAACAAACATGGACAAGAAACGTAGTTTTACATTCATCACAAATTAGAACAGATCAAATTTGTAAGCAGTGAGCACTAAGGATGGCAAACGGGCGGGTCAAGTGTAGATACCCCTCTCCTATTCCTATACCCACATAATATATTCAAATCCACCACCCGCCCACCACCTATGACGGGTAAAATTTTTTAAATCCACACCCTCCCACACGAGTACATTGTCAAATTCATCCCTACACTCACTACCAAACTAGAGACGTATCCTACTAGATCCGCCTAACAACCTTAATTTATACATAAGCAACAAACATAAAACAAATACGTCCATTAAGAAGGCGTACCTGAATGAGCTTGAGACCAAAGTTTGAAACTTACAGAAGAACTCTGAGTTTGACCATTAAATCGGCGCAATAACCAACAAGAAAAGTACGAGTGGTTTGAAAGAAAGAAAAAAATTATTTATAAACTTATATCTCATATTTGGTTAAATTATAAGTTATATCTTATACAATATTAAGATTTATAAATGTCTCTAAAATTATATCTAAATTCATAATGATTCAAAATTTAATGAGTATTTAGTGGATGGACGAATGCGGGGCGGATAAGGTCTCAAACCCATCACCCGTCCACTACCCGCAATAGGTATCACTTTCTAAATCCACACCCATACACTACTCACTAAAATTATACTCATCCCCACCCTAATTAAAACAGATACAATTCAAAATTCACGAAATTATACTAATTTATCATCCGAAATGTCAACTGCAATACTAGACGCCTAGCAATTGAATTTCTTTAATGAAGAATAAAATACATACAGTGCTGCCACGTGTTCTCGGCCAGATCCTCGGCTTTTTTCGTGGCTTCTCCCACTTTCCTGGTCCATCTCCCTAAGAGATCCTTCACTGAATCCATTGTCTCTGCTTCCATTTTCGAATTAAAAAATAAGTAATATTTTTTTTTCAAAATTCAAACAGAAGGAATAAATGTGAAATTGCTCGCCTTTGAAGGAAGCCGAAGAAGATTGCTGGGCAGGAGCACTAGTAACGTAAGGGTTGGATCCATTAAGAGTGGACATGGTGGCGCAGTGATCAGCAGCAGGCGATGGATCAACTAATTCGGGGCTCCAATGAACCGATTTGCTTGACCCGGACGGTTTATTGTTCTGCGATTGCTCGCTTTGAGGCTGAGTCTCTTTTGGATCGGGAGTCCGTTTTTCTACATATTTCTCGGGCTCTGTAGTTGGAACCATAATAAAGCCCTCCGAATCCGTTGCGGGATCCGAGGCTTTCGCGTCCATTTCAGCTTCTGTTCTTGTGCAGGAGATTGCGTTCAGCTGGACATGAGCTCGATTCCTTTCTTACGTTGATCCACTTTTCTAGAGCGTTCGCGGGAAATTACGGCTGCGCGTTAGTGGCGCGTGAAGCTATTGCATATTAAGAGAATAATAAAATTTAGAAAGTTAGGCAAGTTGATTAATGAACCCATTAACTGCATCACATCAATAGGGTAATTAGTTGTATCATCCCCCATCCAACACTAATTTGCTTTTGAAGAATTACTATATACATTTATAATTTAAATTCATTACGCTTGACCATGATTTGCGCCTCTTTAGGGACAGAGCAGAAGATAATACTTACATGCATCATTCAATTTCAAATCTTTTACGCATCGGTTCATCATGAAGATGCAATGTAATCTTATGTAATAAACAAACTAGCATTACACATCATATTATTTAAAACAAACTAGTTAGCTAGGTTTCTGCATTTAAGCAGATCTGTTCTGTTCATCATCTGTTGCTGTTGTCTTCTTAATCCTCTCAATGAACTCAAGCATCACCTCGGTACTTCTCTCATCTGGGAATAATAGGGAAAATAGAAAAAACAAAAATTAAAACAACGAACATGAAAGAAGGGAACATTAAAAAAAGGTTGTTTGAAGCACCAAGTCTGGGAACTGTATGGCCTTTGGGATGATTAATCACAAAAGGATCAACAAAAGATTCCAGAAGAGCAGTTGATTCCGGTTTCATGAAGTCCATTTCACCTGCAGATTAAAAGTTAAACCCAGTGTTTGTGCATTGCTTCTTCCAAATTTTTTGCAAGTTTTTAGAATACCTGTGATGTGAAGAGAAGGGCATTCAAGAGGTGTTGAAAACGCTTTACAAGAGAGCTTATGATGCCCGAATTTTGACCACCCAAATTTAGCTCCTGATATTAGTATCAGAAACTTGATTTTTGGAATTCTGGTAAGGGCTAATCCATCTCTCTGCATTCCAGGCAATGCAGCTGAGAGAACTGCTCCCTGAGATTCATCACCAAAAAAAATACAAATTAGATCCATTTTTAGCACAAGAGTTGAATTTCTAAGATTTTCCTCCCTAAGATAATTCAAGCAAATTAACCCCACCTGAGAGAAGCCAAGAAAACCATCAAATGGGCCATTCTTTATCATATAGTTTTCAATATACTCCAGACATTCTTCAAAATTTGTATACTCGGTGAAATTCTAAGGGAAAAAGACAAACAAAGATTCAGTTGCGAGCTGTGGTGGTGAAAAGCTAAAAAAAATGAAGTTGAGCTGTGAATTTTTGCTAGTCTTCTCTTTACCTGGTTAGCTTGGAACCACTCATAGTAAGGAGGATCAAAAAAGGCTTCAACATCAGATTTGCCTTGGGCAGGAAATGGGGCATCAAGGAAAACAAGATCCAGCTTATCAAGCACGGTTAAAGGCCATCGAAGGACCTGTTTCTTGAGAATTTCAGCGCTTGTTCTGAATCCATGGAGGCACACAACTCTGGGTTTTCTCAGCATTTGGCTTCCCATTTCCCCCTAAACTCACCGCTGAAAAAACTTGACTAACAGACCTCACTCTGATTGATTGGTACCATAAATAATGAATGTCCCACATTATTAATTTACTGGGAAGACATGGAATTCTGTGTCACGAGAGCTTTAAGCTTGCCAGATTTCTAAACATAACTCCATGACCCATAACAGTTGTAACGGCATTGTCCCACATCGAGAAGGGGTAACAAGCGGAATAAATAAGAGGCAACTACCGGTTTTCATGGCCCAATATGACAAACAATTTAATTAATTAGCATGATGGTTCATATAGAAATTTATTTATAAATTTACGGCAGTTGTAACTCGATGATGTATTCTAATAAAAATAAATTTTATTTAAATTTTTTACTTTGATGTAATAATATATATATATATATTATTAAAATTCGTTACTTTGGTGTGACGTGTTTGAATAAAAAATATTTTTTTATTAAAAGTCACCACTATATTTTTTTATTCAAACACATCACTGTTTGAATAAAATATATTTTTTATTGAAACTCATCACTTTGTCTTGATGATTTATGTGAACATTGTAAAAAAGTCATAAATCCTAAAATAAACTTTTACTTGCCTTTTTTCCCCCAAATAATTTACCTGTTTACCTTATGAAAAAAAGGGCAATTAACATCCTTGTAAAATATTTATTCGGACGGTGTCAATGGGCCATTATCAAGGCCATGGCCTATGTTATCGACTTCAATTACACTTATGGAGTGTCAGCCTAAAGTCTCCCCAAAGGGGAGAGTCCGTCATAATTTGGGTTTTTTGGCCCAATAGGGCACTCGAAATAATTATTTGGCTTAATAGGGTATCTCAAAGTTATTTTGGGATCTACGACATTTTCTACAATGCAAGGCAAACTATATATATATATATATATTGCAGAAAAAACAATAAACTATGAACATTAGAGTAGACTTTCATAAATTCACATTAGGAAGAAAAAACTACAAACTTAATACATTATCATAAGGATGTAAATAGGACTAGCCTTACGAACACCATAAACATTAAATAAAATCATTAGCATAGCAATATTGATTAAGAAGTTTTAATCTTTGTAATCAGTATATTAGTCAGAAATAAGATTAAGTTCTTCAATTCCACATTCTTTTTGCTGTTATCATTCGCGTACGAATTGAAACCATGTTTCTGGGTCTCCATCATCTATGTTTTTTTCTTGGTCATTTGTCTGAGTTGGTGGGATAATCGAGCTGGAAGCAACATCCTCAATGGTACAAGAAAGGTCGAGATCATCGAACTCCACAAACAAATCGACATTAGACAAAGAGTGATAGAAATACGTCTTAATCTTGACAACAAGGTCTACACCATCGTTTAGATTAAACCTCGTGCATGATACTGGAAATTTATAATATAAGGAAAATATTCTTCTACTGCTTCCGAGTAGAACTCTTGTTTCTATACTGATCTTCAACTTGTGTAGTTAAATGTTTTTTGGGAAACACATGGTTATAGATTTGTAATCGTAAAAAAATAGTTGCACAAACAATTGACATGTTTGAAAAAAAACTCAAGCTTTTGAAGTGAAAGATTGAAGGTGTTTTTTTGTTTCAATATCAGAGTAAAATAACTTTTAACTAACACATATTAATAGACGCTGAATAAGACTAAATGAATACTACAAAGTTAGTGAAATTTTGCTTGAATTCTACATTGAATGAGCTCTAAAAAAGTCAACTGGTGCATTATTGTTACAATAAATGACTTCTGAAATGTAGTTGAAACGGTGCATTGATTGAGGACAAAAAAGTAACCGAAATAGTGAAAATTTTGGCTTTGTTAAAATACACGTTTTTTTATGATTTGAAGTGATAATTCAACACTGAAAAACTTTCTGATTTGAGTTGATATGTCGCTAAAAAGTTGTAGAAGATGATAATACACCACATTTTTCACCCATTTTCTGAAAAGTTGCTTGAGTTCTGCATTGAATGAGCTCTGAAAAAGATAAAATGGTGCATTATTGTTGAAATAAATGACCTCTGAAAAGTAGTTGAAACGATGCATTAATTGAGCACCAAAAAGTAGTTGAATCATTGAATAATTTGGTTTGGTTAAAATACACGTTTTTATGATTTGAACTGATAATTCAACACTGAAAAGCTTTTTAATTTAAGTTGATATATCACTGAAAAGTTACAGAATATGATAATGCACCACTATTTTCACCAATTTTCTGAAAAGTTGATTGATTTCTACATTGAATGAGCTCTGAAAAAGCTAAAATAGTGCATTATTGTTGCAATAAATGATTTCAAAAAAGTAGCTGAAACGATGCACTAATTGAGCACCAAACAGTAGTTGAATCATTGAATACTGAGATGACATTTCACTGGAGAGTTATTAGATGGTAATTAATGTAGGGTCGTATTTGTTTTAAATTAGTTCACTTCAGATGAATCTTCACAAGGCTTGGTATTTTTTTTCAATTGTATTGAACAAGAAAAAATCAATATCTCTCTGAAGCTATGTCAAACAAGTTTTTCGCAGTCGTCCATCCAAATAACCAAGTTGTTGAAATTGAAGATGGTGTTCAGTTTATGTCACAAAATCCTGTGAACATGATGTTCTTGGCAAATGTAACTCATGGGCAAATGAAGATGAAAATCGAAAACAAAATCAATCACAACTTTTGTTTCAAGTTTGAGATATCGATATATTATTTCAGAGACTCCGCTCAAATATGGAGCAATCCTACTCGATGATGATGACGATGTAGCTGTTATGGTTGGCATTCATCAATCTTTCAATAATCAAATGATTGAGATTATTTTCGTAACTGCAGATGTTCCTACTTCCTTAACTGTTGCACCGGTGACTGTAAAAGCAAGACCATAAGAAGATGTAGATAACATCGTCAGGCTATTCGGTAAAATCCTTGCTGATTTTAGCGAGGATGGTGAAACTTTTGTTCCGCTTACAATGGTCGATTACACACCAATAATTGATGAATATGATATCGCCGGGGTTGCTTCAGAGGGACAAACATTTGATATAGAGGGTGATGTATGGGAGGCAACCGTTTCTCATGGCCAAGCAATGAAGAATGCTTTGTCAATTTGGGCACATCCAACAATAACCATATGACCAGAAAGTTCTCAACCCAGATGCCTCAATATCGTCATGCAGTTGTAGTGCATGAGATAAACTATGATGCCTCAATATATGTGTAGTCCACTAAGGGACCTCGGATGATGTATCGACGGAGTTTGGAGTTGGATCACAGTTTGGGAGTAAGAAGGATAATCAACTAGCTGTGAAAGAGTTTTTTTTTTTATAAAAGCTAATATAGAATTCACCGTTGTGGAGTCTGACCAGAAGACTTATTTTGTCAGATGTATTAACAACAACGTTAACTGTAAGTGAAGGATACATGTCTCATAACTACAACAAAAAATGTTGTGGGAAGTCACAAAGATCCACAACCAGCACAATTGCATGTTCAGCTCCTTATCACAAGACCACAAGCACTTAAACTCTATTTTCATATGTGCATACGTAAAGCTACCAGTGGAGAAAAATCCAAGGATCTCGGTATCAATGATTGTGGCATCAATACAGAATACATTTGGTTATATTTCATTTTATTACAAGTCCTGGATGGCCGAACAAAAAGCTATGACACTATTGTATGATGATTAGGAACTGTATGATGATTAGGATCAGTAACACAATTGCATATGTCATATTGCTTCAAATGTTATGACGAGATTCAAGAATAAGAAGATAAAGAAAGAGATTATCATCATGGGTAACTTATTCAGTTTCACCTTTCATTTTTTGGTCTTATTCTTCATTTAAAATTATTATTCTTACACTTAACTATTTGTTCAGGCTATGCATTACTCCAACCGAGCTTTCGTGCAAGACTGGAAAATTTGAGAAAGTATGGAGAAGAGGCGTATAACTTTACAACTGAGATATCTCGAGAAAGATGGACACAACCATATGACGATCAAGGTCGATGTTACGTTTATATGACAACCAATCTTGTTGTGTATCAATTTAGTGCTAAAAGAGACTAGACATCTTTCGGTGGCAAATATTGATCAGGATACATACTTCAGGTTGGATAGAGTTTGTGTAGACAAAAGTGCTAAGGTAGAAACAATGATCAACAAAGGTAGAAATTGGGCTCCAGATTTGGCGAAAACAATGACCAAAAATCAAACCCATGCAACATCAATGCATGTCTGTAATTTCATCAGACTGGAATATGATTATATTGTCCAAGCACTTGTTCGACCATATGAGGGTAGGACTTCTGCCACATATATTGGTAATCTTAATAAAAGGTGGTGTGATTGTGGTCGATTTCAAGCCTTCAGATACCTATACACTCACGTGGTTGCTGCATGTATGCATGTGAATATAAACCCATACATTTATGTTAATGATTGTTATAGCTTGCATACTATGCGCAACATATATAATTGCGAGTTCAAGTACCTCCCAAATGATGCATATTGGCACCTATTATCTCTGAAAAATGGTTGCTCAATCCGCAATTACGAAGGAAGTTGAGGGGTCGTCCTGAATCTAGTTGAATTCCTACTGATATGGATGACTCTCAAAGAGAGCAAGGTCTGCCGAAGCTATGTGGCCACTGCAGAGGTGAAGGCCACAATATGAAGCACTGCCCACATCTCCCAAGATATCGAGTATGTCAATAAATCCTATGTAATTGTATTCCCATGCTATACCGATTTTACAAATATCAATGATAATTTTTTAGTTTTTTACGTTTAATATATAATTGCAAACTATAACACTTAACTAAAGTCAAATTCATACATTTATTTAAAACATTTTCCAACAAAAATAAACATATTTTCCTCTCAATTTTTACATTATTTTTCTTATTTTCTTTCCTTTCGATAAGTTGTTTACTGCATCGGCTTACTAACTCTTCATTCTTCTTCTTCTCCTCCTCTTTTTCCTTTTTCTCCTTCTCTTTCTTCTTCTTATTCTTCTCCTCCTCC